AGAACTTCATGGCATTAAACCTCTGTTAGCAGCCCTGGTGGCATTGTAGGATAACCTAACCTCAAGGTCAATTATTCAAACCCGCCAGCCACTCTGAAGGAGAAAGATGGAGGTTCTGTGCTCTCATAAAGATTTACAGCCTTGAAAATTCTATATAGGTTCTATAAGTTGGTACCAACTAGATGGCAGTGAGTTTTGGGTTGGGCCTCTATTACACATAGAGTAATGAGCTTTGTACTGAACGTAATAGAAATGCAAATACAAATTACTTATTTAGCAACAGAAGATATGTGCCCCAAAACGGAAAAAAATTAAACACTACAATATAAAATAATGTGTTTTAAGATTTAAATTTATAATCTGAGCCTTAAGAATCAAGTTTACTAACTACTAGTGTGGCGCTGTCATATAAGCACTGGACTGCTAACACTAGGGTCAGTGGTTCAAACCCACCAGCCATCCTCGCAAACCTTGTTGGAACCAACTCCACAGCCCTTAAAAAGAACATTTTGATATTTTATAGTTCTTGCTGTATGCTGCCGCGTATATGGTTTCCTACAACGGCTGGTAGGTTTGAACTCCAGACTTGCGGTTCATAGTTTAGTGCCTATCCTACAGAATCACACCAGGGGCTCCAATTTAGTGTTGTTCTTGTTGTTAACTGCCATTAAGTCACTTCTGACTCATTTTGTTGTTGTTAAGTGCCACTAATTGGGTTCTGACTCAGTGACCCTGTATAGGGTTTCCACGGAGTGACTGGTGAGTTTGAACTGCCGACCTTGTTGTTCAAACCAACTTTGAGGACATCAGCTTATTCTACAGCGCCACACCAGGACTCCATCAGGACTATTTCGATGTTGTTGTTGTTAACTGCACCTGAGTCATAGCGACCCCATGTACAGTTTCCAAGGAGCAGATGGTGTTCACACTGACTTTGCAGTCCAGTGCTTATCCTACAGATTTTGTTGTTGTTGTTGTTATGTGCCGTGGAGTCGGTTCCGACTCAAAGCGACCCTGTACAGGGTTTCCGAGACTGTAAATCTTTACAGGAGCAGAAAGCCTCATCTTTCTCTCACGGAACAGCTGATAGTTTTGAACTGCTGACCCTGAGGTTAGCAGCACAGGGTATTTGAGAAATAGGATGCAAAAACTCTAGGATGTAATTTTTTGTTGTTGTTTTTAATTGCAGAGGTTTTTCAAAAATTTAACTTGAAAATATTTACCTTTATCATTCTCTATAGGTATATAGAGGAATTCCTACAGTTAATGAATTCCAACAAGGAATTCATTAACTGTAGGAATTCATACCAGTAATTGAGTACTTTGTGAATTTCTAAAGCTGTAATCTTTATAGAAACAGACTATCACATTGCTCTTCCACAGAAGGACTGGCAGGTTCAAACCTCCAAGCTTTTTGTTAATAACCAAGTGCCACCAGGGCTCCTTATGATAGGTAGGAATGACAATTAAAAGAAGGAACTGAGTAAATGAGCAGTTGAAGGAATGTAGTCCTGAGTCTGAGTCTACCAACCTTGAGTCTACCAACAACTCATGAAACCGGTTACTTCTAAGGGAGGACAGATCAGTGAAGGAGGGGAGTCAGGTGTCAGCACTTCATTAAATCCGTTAAAAATTCCAACCCAGTCACTCTTTGTGAGTCATTAAGGAGGGTGGTTGCGGTTTGGTTTCTAGAACTCCACAACAGACACATCTTCCATGACGGTTTAAGGTGAGATTTTGTTTGTTTGCTTGCTTGTTTGTGGAGCTTAAACCCTTTGTTGCTCTCTCCTTTGCTTTAGTAAAAGTTAACTGTTGAAGACTTACTTACCAGACTTATGCTGAGCATTTTGTCTTTAATGAGATAAGAAGAAAAGCCAAAGGAAAATTTTATGTGCTGAGAACTTTTAAATGTAGTTCAGACAAGTATAGACCAACAAGAATAAAGAGATATGGTCCAAATTTAGAGTAGACTAGTCCTTGTGTAAGGAGCTCTGGTAGCATAGCGATTATGGGTCGGGCTGCTAACCTCAAGGTCAGCAGTTCAAAACTACCAGCTGTTCCACATGAGAAAGATGAGGCTTTCTACTCCTGTAAAGATTTACAGTCTCGGAAACGCTGCACAGGGTTGCTATTAGTCGGAACCGACTCCACAGGACCACCACCACCACCAGTCCTGAGGTGTGGTGAGTTTTGGGTTAGGCCACTATTACACATAAAGTAATGAGTTTTGTACTGAAAGTAATAGAAATGCAAATACAAATTACTTATTTAGCGGCAGAAGATATGTGCCACAAAATGGAAAAAAATTAAACACTACAATATAAAATAATGTGTGTTTTAAGATTTAAATCTTGAATACAGTGGTATGGCACTGTAGGATAATGTACTGGACCGAAAGATTGGTTTGAACCACAAGGTCAGCATTTCAAATTGATCAGCTGACTCTCAGAAACCCTATACAGAGTTGCTATGAGTCATATATGAGTCATAACCGACTAGATGGCACTGAACTACTACAACAACAACAACAACTGAGGAGGTACAGTTGCTGCCAACTCTTTCCTTTTTTAATGGATAATCTAGGTTTTGAAACTACTAGAGAAATACTTCAAATTACTACCATGTGAAAAGAATGTCATTAATAAAGGAATATTAAAGATGCTTTTAAATCTTTGAATACACAAGCAACTTGTTTTATAGCTTCTATATATGACACTTAAAGAGCTCT